CAAACCCAGGCACTAGGTTCGGTGGAACCCAGCATGCCTAGGTTCCATCGAACCTAGATGAAAAAATTTTTTTAAAAAAAGAAGGAAATTTTTGCTTTTGTTTTTTGGATTTTGTTGTTTAATGGTGATGAAAAATTGATTGATGAAGATGAAGAAGGCAAGGCAAGGCAAGGCAGTCGTTGGGTTTTTGCAGGTTTTTACAGGTGCTGGGTTTGAAATTGAACCCAACAGGTGCCTATTGGGTTTCGTTTCAAACCCAGCAACTGCTAGGTTGATGGAACCCAACGGATGCTAGGTTCGAGCAGCTGCTGGGTTTCGTTTCGAACCCAATAGTCGTTGGGTCGATGGATCTGTTAAGTTTGATTTGGTTATTGATTTGTTGTCTGTGTTATCATTCTTGAGGTGCTAGGTTCGATTTTGAACCTAGCAACTGATCAAACCCAACAAGCGTTGGGTTCTGTTTCAAACCCAACAGCCGTTGGGTCGAAGGATCCATTGAGTTCAATCTGTTGATTTGTTGTATTATCCTCAAATTTAATGTTAGGAGATGTTAGGGTTTGCATAAGGTGAAAGGAAAGGGAAAGGAAGAAGAAAGGGAAAAAGGAAAAACAAAGGAAGAAAAAAAAAAAAACGAAAAAGAAATTTTTTAAGGTTTTTTCTTGTCATATCATTTTTTTTTTGCCACGTTGTACATCCTAGGTGTCAAAATGCTTTTACATGTCATTCTTTTCTCGTCAAGTAACAAGACACATAGGTTGATATTTAATGGAAGGACCAAATCGAGGTGAAATTGGTCAACAGTAAAGACCAAATCAGGGGTGTTTTTAGTTTATGGACTAAATTGAGAGTCTGTATAATAGTTTAGGGATTAAAATAAAGTTTTAACCTCTAAAAAAGGATTTGGACTTAAAATTAGTGGGATTTTTTAAATAGTACCCTTGAATTATAATAAATATGTATTTTTTATAAAATTATGTTAGAAAAATAAAAGTTAATTTTTAATTTATCGATGATTTAATTAGATTCATTCACATAATAACAGACTAAAATTAAGTTTAGTTTTTATATTTTTTAATACAAATTAAAGAAGAAACCTAAATTTAAATTGTCCCCTTAGAAAAACCCAAATAAATATATAGACGAGATGTAAATTAATTAATAAACTATTCTTAGCAAAGGAAGGGACAATTTGAGTAAAACCATCCCTTCAAAACTCCCAAACACAAAGCTCCTACCTTTTCCTCTGTCCATTTCTTCGCTGTCCTGTTACACCCTTACACCGTTTTCAGACATTCATTGGCGGGGAGGAAATTGGATGGTGACATGGCAGCCACTTAGCACACCAATTTTTTTTATATTTCCATTGCAACAACATCCGAGTAACTCTCGTTGTAATTTCAGGATTCATGGTGGTTAAAGGCATCAAAAGCATATTTATTTATTTATTTTTATTAATGTCTTGATATCAGATAATCTCATTAGATCTATATTAATTTAAAATCAAATTATATCAGATTTATAAATAAAAAAAAAACTTTTTTAATATTTGTTTTTCTTTTCACAA